TTAACTAAATAACATCTTACCTCATAGTTTCCAGTGGTTTTTGTCATTTCACAATGTCTGGGAACAATAAATAGCCATTTTCATAATGCTGGGCATTTATGTTATTTTTGGTTTTTGCTCTTTTTGATATGCTCTGACTATGCTATGCTATGACTTTGTGGATGAAACTAATATGCCTCCCTGATTATTTTCTTATAATTCTATCTGAAAATCATTTTCCATTTTTTTAATGCAACATGTAGTTTGTTGTTGCTATTTCTGATCATTGTCTCCAAGGCAAGAAGGAAAATAAAGAAAAAAAAATGAGCCAACAAAAGAAATTGATCAGCATTAATAATATTAAATTGAGGGGCTGGGGATGTGGCTCAAGTGGTAGCGCGCTCGCCTGGCATGCGTGCGGCCCGGGTTTGATCCTCAGCACCACATACAAACAAAGATGTTGTGTCCGCCGATAACTAAAAAATAAATATTAAAATTCTCTCTCTCTCTCTCTCTCTCTCTCTCAAAAAAAAATCACTGAGTTGTCAGGTTTTTAAAAAAAGATAATATTAAATTGATCATATTATTTTGATGCCTTACTGGAAAATTGCACTAATTTATACTCCTATCTATGGTCTTTGAGGGTTCTTGTTTCCTCACACTGTTGACTTCATTGCATGGCTATTAAAAACAAAACAAAACTGCCGCAGTCTGGCTGGGCACAATCAGAAGCCACTTGTCAAAAGAAACTAACTTTATTTTTAGAACCAAACACGCCAAACAAAACAGCCTCTCAGGAAAAATCCTCAGAGCCTCAACTGCCACCACCGGCTTTCCACAAGCCTCTCTCTCCCACACAAGCTTCTCCCCACCTCCCACAATCCTCCTGCTCTTGAGGCCGATTGGCTGGGTCACGTGGGCGGAGCCAAAAAAGTCCCCCAATGAGCAGCTCCGTGGTCTGAAAGGGCAGGGAAACAGTCCAATGAGCATCACCGCAGAGGAGCCAATCAGCTAGATGTTGCTGGGGCCGAGGAGCCAATCAGCTAGATGTTGCTGGGGCCGCTGTGAGCCAATCATCAGCCGGCAGCTGGAAGTTTGCTGGCAGCTGGAAGTTTGCTGGGGCCCCTTCGGCTGTGGCTCTCAACACAAAACAAAACAAAACACAAAACTTGTACTAATTTGTCATTTGCATTTCTTTGAAGACTAGCAAAGATTTCATGTATGTTACTATGACTAGCACCTGAGATAAATTAACTTATAAAGAGGAAAGATTTATTTGGACTCACTGTTTTGGGAGTTTCTGTCTATGATGGTTTGGAATCATTGCTTTTGGGCCCGCGGCAAGGCAGCACCCTGTGGCAGGAATGCATGGCAGGGCAATGTACTCATCTCATGGCATCCAGGCAACAGAGGAAGGAAGAGGAAGAGACAAGAATCCCATAATTTCCTTCAAGGACATGACCCCAGTGACCTAGGACCTTCCACTAGGCCACAGCTTTTCAATGTTCCACCACCTCCCCAGACTGGGGACCAAGTCTTCAACACATGGAGCTTTGGGGGACATTTCAGATCCACACTGTAGCAACATGCTTATTGGCCATCAGGCTAACTTCCATTGTGAATTCATTATTGATAAACTTTGTCATTTTTGGATGCAGATACACATTGCCAACTTGCTTGCCAAATGGCTGATTGATTTATGTTGCAGGATACATTTTGTGTTTTGTGAATTGTCTCCTGTCTCTTGCTTATTTAAGATAACATTTGTCAGCTAAGGATGTTCATCTATGTTTCAAGGTGGAATAAAAAGAGCTAAAAATGTTGCAGGAAGAGGGTATATACTTGGGTTTTGAGTTTTGGAAGAGGTGTAAATTGAAGTGGAACAGTATTGAGCATCAAGGACAGGATGACGAGGGAGGGTGCCTATTGGGCTGCTTTTTGGCTTCAGAAAACATTATATGATAACTACCTCTAAGCTTGGAGAGCATTATCTTTTAATTACAGTCTTTTGAAAAAACATAAATAGCTAAGATTGTGTGTGTGTTTGTTGTTGCTATTTCTGATCATTGTCTCCAAGGCAAGAAGGAAAATAAAGAAAAAAAATGAGCCAACAAAAGAAATTGATCAGCAGGTTATTTAATTATCAATTTTAATTCAGTAGCCCCAGTAAACCATAGGGGTAAAAGTTTAGTAGACTCATTGGGTGATTGGCTCTAAGAACTTCTTGTGGAATCAAGCGTGCCTTAGATCTGTATACTCTTTCTTTTTCTCTCATATTTATTCAGATTGAATATTTGAAGCAGAAGCTATGAAAGGGTTATATAAGGAGCGGCATCTAATGAAAGTATGTTGGATGAATAAATCCATGCACAGATTTAGCTCTACCTGAATAAAAATAAATAAATAAATTTCTTTAATCAGGTGCTATAAAATTATAATTACTTTAAGTCATGGTCATATCTGAAGTGACTTTGAGGAACAAAATTTCAGGATAGACTTGAAATTCCTCTAGGAAATGTCACAAAGCAGAATGATCTATGAATTAATATTTTATGATAAGATAGTATTACAAAGCTTCATAACTTTCTACTGCTATGTTTTTAAAAGCCAATGAATGAGTTGAAGTAGTGGCACCCACTAAAGATGTGGAAAGAATTTTCCTATTTGTAGTGACAGATAAATGATGATCAATTTTGTCATGAGAAAGTTCATTTGGACACTTGGGAGTAGTGAGGTATGGTAGAATTTTTACAGATTATTATTTGTTTGATCAGGTGTTTCTTTGGTGGTGATTCCCATGGCTCATGACTTTGTTATTTGCTCTTTTAGAAAATTAAGAAGGGAATTTAAAGACTCATTAATCTGCATCTGAATGTATGCATGTGAGTATTGAGGGGGATCCGGAGGGAAGAAGTCTAGGGCACGTTGAGGTGTGTGAAGCTCTTTTTAACTTCTGTGATGGGGACTCATTGCTCCGTAGTGTTCGCCTCCACCTGTGGTACTGGGTCCTCTCTCTGACGGTGACCCTATTTATCTTCCAGGGTTTGGGGTGCTGATGTTTGCTGTGGATCGGCAGGATCCTCACCAGGCAGAAGTTCCCTGGTGGACGGCTGTGACGCGTGGCTGCCGGTGAGGCATGACCTGGACTGACTGCTGCAAAGCTCCGGCCCTGATGCTCTGACTGCCTGAGCTGCATTTTGATTCTCCTCTTGATTTATGTTCGTTTGCTTCCACATCTTCTCTTGCAGGTAGTGGTAGAGTGTGCTGGATTGGACGGCACCTCTCTGCACAGAGTAGGGCTCCTGGTCTCTCTGCCTCCTTTCTTCAAAGCCTGACTCAGTCTTGGCTGGGCTTGGTTGGTCATCACCTTCTCCTTCCTGCTTTTGAGGACTTGCATCCTCTTCCTCCAGTGTCGCATGCTCTCCTGCTTCAAGGTGTGTCTCAGGGGAGACGGGGTCATCCTCATCCTGACTTTTTAGTAGGCTCTCGTGGGCCTCTAGGGCTCCACCTTTCTCTTCTTTGGTCTTCGGGTCCTGGACCTTTACCCCTTTTCTGCTGTTTTCGTTTTTAGGGAGCTGCATTACAGAAATCTGGTCAGTGACATCTGCCTCCTGGAACTTTCTGTCTTCACCCCCTGCTGTGGTCTCCTGTGCCTCTGGGGGTCCCTGGCGCTCCACAGCCACACCTGGGTCCTTTGTCCCTGAGCCTTGACTCTTGTGCTCCCCCGGAGCAGGCTGTCCCTGCTCCTCTGGGAGCTGACCATCCTCTTCTCTGACTGACAGCACCGCTGCCTCCCGCACTCCGTGGTCACCTGGTGGTCCCTGCTTCTGGGGATCTGGGTTATCCCCGTGAGCTCCCGGCACGGACCCGCGGTGTGGGTCCACGTGACCCTGGGAACGCCCGCGCACGCGCAGTTCCCTCCTCTCTGAGCTGAGGTTCCCTTCTCGAGGAGCCAGGGCGTCGGGGGTCTCACAGGACCCCTCGGCATTCGGGGACAGCTCGGGGTCCTCCCTGACTGGCTGGGCCCCGATCCCCGCGGCCCTGCCGGTTTCTCCTCTGCCGTCGGGTCCCGCGGACGGGGGCTCGGGACGCCCCGGGGGGGCCGACTCCTGGGTTCTTCCTGGGGCTTCGGGGGTCCCCTTCGCTGCGGGGCCGTCTTCGGCATCCTTGGCCTCTTCTCCTGGGATCGGTGCCTTCTCCGTCTCAGGACGACCCTGATTCCTTCCTTCCGATCCCAGGAACCGTGTTTCAGACCGGGTTTCGGCATCTCTTTCCCTCGACGGTTCTTGGAGTCGTTGCCGCTGCCCGTCCTGCGAGTGGGCTTCCAGGACTGGCGCCTGGGCCACCCTGTCACGTCCTTTCTGCCCTGCTGTTGGGTGTCCTTCTTCTCCTGGGGCTCCAACATCGGGTGGTTCTGAAACAGTTCTGCTGCCACCTTGGGCCGGTGGGTCCGTTGTTTCGCGCCCCCTTCCTTGTGCAGGGGGTTCTGGGGTCTTGGATGTTCTGCCGCAGGCCTCAGGTTCCTCGGAACCACTTGTCTCAGGGAGGCTCCCAGCAGCATCCTTTTCTGGCTCTTGGACCACAGACGTCCCACTCTCGTCCTCCGTGTCAGTTGACTTCTGTGTCTCTGGTGGGTTCCTGGCAGCAGCTGGTTCGGGCAGGTCAGCAAGCTCTTCATCTGGGTTCTTCTCTGACTTAGACACCTGTCTCGGTTCTGCACTTAGTAATGATTGTATGTCAACATAACAGAGGTTCAATAAACTGAAGATCGCAAGAACGAATTCATCAAAACTGATGGTGCCATCTTTATCACTATCCAGAAGATTCAGGTTTCTCTCCACAGCATGCATAACATGGGGCTGCATCAAAACACAGGGGGAATTCAGCTTATTCATATTTGACCGAGTCTCCAGAGTATCTGTTTCTCTCTTAAGAATCCTTATTGGTGGGGGAATATAGCTCAGTTGGTACAGTGCTTGCCTCGCATGTACAAGGCCCTGGGTTACTCCCCAGCACCCCCACCCACAAAACATATATATCCTTATTTATTTATTTATTCACCTTATTCCTCAAGAGTGACCAACACTTCCCCAAACAGTAAGAATCCAGTGGCTGTGGTTGTCACTTTTCACCAGAGAGCTATGACTAGGGAGCATTTACATCCCTTGTGAGTTTTAGTTAGATTCATCATGGTTTGTGACTCCGCTCGGAAGTCTACTTTGCTGAAGCAATAGTCCCGGTCATGAAACCCTCATTTTCTCTGTAGGACTGACTAAGCAATTGCATACGATAGGCGACTTAGACCACAAATAATTGTTCAAAAGTCAGTGAGTGCTGAGAACTGATGGCCGAATTGTAAAATGTGCAGAGATTACCTAAGCTCACCTTGCTTGGATTAGGGAGAATTGGAAAGTGGATACGAATTGTCACAGCTCTGTGAGCACCTCACCTGAAGGAAGTCCCCAAACTCGCCCTGAAGGAGCCGTTTCAACTCTCTGCAGGTCAGCCTTGCCTTGTCACCATCCTCTCTGGAATACTTGTGGAAGGTCTCGATTACGCAGAGGACACTTCTCAGGAGCCGAGGCATCTTTACAAATTCAGGAGAGACTGTGAGAAAGAACAAACAAAACCCATTTCCCAGGATAGGTCTTCCAGGAAGGGGACACCAAGATCGTCCTTTCTGCCTCTTCTCCAGCTCTTCCATCACCGGCTCTATTCTGGATCTCGAATATGATATCCAAATTCTAGGAGTGATTTAGTTCTGCCGTGGACATTGTGATGAGATCAGATCTAGCACAGGTTATTAGGAGAGGCACTTTACCCCACCCTGCAGTACGCAGCAGTATTCACGTGTCCGGAGAATGTTTGATGGTAAGAAGATGGTGAAACGAGAACTCAAATATAAGTTGTTGAGATGCACAGATAAAGCCAGCAGAGGGAATCAGTCTTTTGAGCCTCTCATCTGAGAATATCCACTTGCTTTCCTCCCACCTTGCCTCTGCCCAGCCTCCTCTGCTTAGGAAAGACCTTATAACTTTTAATTAGTAAAGCTTCTAGAAGAAAGGGAAATAATGCCAAGGAAATAAACTGCTGCATTTGCAGTTGGAAGCGGCACATTTTTAAACAAGAAGACACAGTTCCATGTGAACTCACTGGTAAAACAGAGTCTTGCTCTATTTAGTCTACATTTTCATTTTAATATAGATCTGAGTCCTGAGTCTTACTAAGTAACATTCACACCCATGTCACCCAAACAGTTAATATTTTGTAAAAAAGAAAATGATCAAAGAGGTTCCGTAAGCACGGAATACATTTTAGATAGCAGGACTCCCCGTTTAATATTATCAGTAGAGGTTAGCTTACGGTATTAATACAATCTCACATATAAGCAAAGCTTCCCCCGAGGTTCCGAATGCTCTAGCAAATGTCTGAGGCTTACCTGGTTCAGGAGTGAGAGCAAGCGGAACGGGAGGCAGCGGGCTCTCGCTGGCAGCAGAGCAGAGACCTTTTATTGCGTCTCTAATTGCACAGCTAGGAGGGAGACACCCTCTGGGTCTAATGACCTGATTCATCTCCACCAAACCCAGGCTCCCCTCCTTCTCTGCCCTCAGCTTGTCTTATTTTTATTTCCTTCTTTCGGTCTTAATTTCAGACTCATGCAAAGCCACGGGGAAGGGGTTTCTTTTTTATTTATGGACTTTTGCAAGTTATTTTGAGGGATCCTCAGGGCTTCAGGATAGTGTTTTTTCTTTTTTTAACCTGAGGACACAATTACGTTTCTGTTTGACCAATCATAGGGCTCAGAAGTCATCTGATTCCTCTCTCTGAATGCCGGATGGCCTGTATTTGACCTAACCCTGAGAGATTAATGTCCATCATGTGTTTAAAAATAAAGGCTCTATTTAGTCATGTGACAAAAGTGGAGATACCAGTTGATTCAGCTGTTTTAATGCATTGTTCTTCTTGCCCAGAGGCAGTTAGGAGAATAAAAAAATCTCTTGCTGGGTGTGCAGAACCTTACTTACCCAAGATGTGCTATTTTAAGAATGTGATTGACATCTACCTTTAAAAGATATTTTTGTAATTCAGGGAACTTAGAAATTACCGTCCATATCACCATGTTCTCTTTGTCATGAGAAAAGGGGTACATGAGGCTAAAGTGAGGACCGAAATGAGTCTGAGATGCTAAATGGGAAAATGTTTTTATTACCTCATAGGTTTGGTCCCTCGTAGTAAAGAATATTTCATTAACAGAAGAATTAGATTTTGTTGTTTTCTTAGATGTTCAAAATGAGAGTAGAGTATGTTTTATATCTTTGTCTCCTTTTCAACGGACCTAAGAAATAGAAACAAAGCCATCGGAACAAGTGTAAAAGACAAAGAGCAAGTTAACCAAGGGATGGAGATGGGGGTAATTAATGAGAAACCAAGGCTAAAGGCTGCATTGCTATTGAACAAAAACCTTTTTCTGAGTTTCCTGATCTGAAGACAAGTACAGGGCGATTGGACTTTGGGGAGAAATTCATTCTGAGAGTTTACATCTAAGAACAATTTCTCAGCATCACCCCCAAAGGGAGGTGACTTCTACTGAGAATTGGGATTGGCCCATGAATGTCACCTTAATTCTGATTAGTTAATATTCCCTGAGTACCAAGTATTTCTCAAATACCATGGCAGGCATTAAGGTATTTAAATTTCAATAAATATGTCTCCCTGCCCTGGAGCTCACTGGGCCAGTATCATGACAAGAGGTTAAAGGAAACTGATATGTTCAGGCTGAATTGGAAAGAAATAACAAGGGAAGACATAAATAACTGTCTTCAAGGATCTGCAGGGCTTTCAAGGGTGTGGGAGAGAAAGGAATTAATGTTCATTGAACACTCATGACATGTCAGGTGCTTTACACAGGGCTGTCTTAATCCCCACAGCCTGTATAGGTAGTTATTATTCTCTTTTAGCAGATAAGGAAGTTAAGACTCTTAGATGTTGAGCAAGTTGCCTGTGGACATGTATCTAGTAAATGGCAGAGCCAGGATTCAGAATTAAAACGTCTAAGCATATGTTTCTGAGCCCATGGTCTTTCCGTGAAGTTGAGTTCTTTATTCTGTGCAATGCCAGAGAATATAGGCATAATCAATGACTGAAACTCTCTAGAAAGTAGACTCTAGTTCTTAGAACTCGTAATGAGTAGAGTGGTCTGATAATGATTTATGCTGCTCATAAAACAATGGGATCTCTGTCACCAGAACTGTTCCTGTAGAGGCTGAACCATTCCCTGTTGGCTAGTTATGGGACAAATCCTGCCACGGGAAGAGAGGAGACAAGAGTGGCTCACAGTGAGGAGCACAGAATTCTTCCAACTTTAAATGTTGGTGGTTTTACATTATAGTTCCTTTTTCAAAAGTCAAAGTAGGATCTTGTCTTGTTTCTCAATGATATAAATGCTCCCAAGCCCTTTCACAAGGACTCCTACTTTTTCAGTGGTTACTCAAGATCATTTAATTAATACTCATGCTCTGGGTGAGTGGTGACTCAGAGGGAACGACAGGAGGAGGAGGCTGCTCTCTATCTGGTGTTTTAAAAAAAGTAGACTGCAGTACAATAAGACCCCGATTGCCCATTCTACAAAATGAGGTGTGGGGGGGAATGTGATTAATAGAAAACCATCTTTATGGTCACACTGAAGTCTTGAATGGCAAATCTGACCATCACAACCTGGAGATGTGCTGGACACAGAATTGATAGGAATGACAGAGGTGAATGAGAAGTGGGGCTGTCAACGGGAACAGAGACTGAATTTTGTATAAGTGACATGTCTCTGTGGTCATTTCCTTCTTCCTCTTCCACTTTAGAGCACAGAGCCTAACCTTCCTAGCCAAATCCCCAAATTTCTTCTCTAAAGAAATTTAGCAACCTTTTGTGCTGGGGACATAGCTCAGTTGGTAGAGTGTTTGCCTCTCATGCACAAGGCCCTGGGTTCAATCCCTAGCACCACAAAAAAAAAAAAAGAAAAAGAAAAGAAAGAAATTTAACAATCTAGAAATGCTAAATGTAAGCTTCTTGAGGGCAGGGCACTGTCCAGTTAGGAGAGAACCTGGACTATAGTAGGAACTCTATCAATATCTGTTGGCCTATAGAGTGAGAGCTAAGGCCTCTAACCCAGACATTGGTTCTCGAGGAAAACCTACTCCATTATGGTATTTGGGGGTCTGGGGGTCTGCAGCCTGTCAGCCATTTACTCACAAATCCACAGAATTCTCAACTCTTCCACAATTTTCCTTCTTAGTGTGAAAGCAAACCTATTTATGTAAACCAAGAGAATCTCAGATCTTTTCATTGGTATAAATGGGCAACCAAGAATACTTATGCGTATAATTCAGTTGCATTAAAGATTAGTAGAAAAACTGGTCACAGAAAAACAGATATAATTCAGAAAATAGAAGATGAAGGTGTCTGTATTTTTAATTTTTTGAGGAACCATCCTACTGTCTTCCACATGACCATACTAATTCACATTCCCATCAACAGTGTTCAGAGGTTCCCTTTATTCCAGATCCTTACTTTTTATCTCTTTGATAATAGACATTCTAACAGGTATGAGGTGATGATTGTGGTTTTAGTTTGTGTTTTCCTGGTGATTAGTGATATTGAACATTTTTCATATACCTGTTGGCTATTTGTATGTCTTCTTTTGAGAAATGACTATTCAGGTCCTTTGTCTATATTTATTTATTTATTTTTGTGGTTCTGGAGATAGAATCTGGGGCCTCATTTATGCTAAGCCTGTGCTCTACCACTGGGCTACACGCCTACCCACTTTGCTTCTTGTAAATTGGTTTTGTTCTTTTGTGGTTTTTGTTTGTTTGTTTTGCTATTGAGTTGCCTGAGTTCCTTACATATTTTGAACATTAACTCTTAGCCTTCAACTTCATGGTATTTGTTCTAAGGAAATGTAATTACTGTGTCAAAGAGGTATCCGGTTCCCATGTCCCACTGAAGCATTATTCTCAATAGCTGTCGAACAGAAACAACATAGGTGTTCATCGGAGACTGAATAAAGAAAATGTGGTATATTTACCCAACGGGATACCATTGGCTTTAAAGGAAATAAATCCCATCATTTGGACAACATGGATGAACCCAGGGGACATTATGTTAAGTGAAATAAGCTGGCCACAAATACTAAATGATTTCATTTATACTTGGAATCTAAAGAAGTCAACATCATAGAAGCAGAACTCTGAAAAATAGTTCAGAGTTCCAGCTCCAAACTCTAGTAATTATCTGACCTTAGACAAATTTCTAAACTGTACTGAGTTCATTTCCTTATCTACTGGTTACCAGAGGCTGAGTGGGGAGAGAAAATAGGGAGATGTCAAAGGGTACAAGGTTTCAGTTAGACAAGAGGAATAGTTTTGGAGACCCATTACACAGTATTGGAGACTATAGTTAATAATAATGTATTATATACTTGAATATTGCTAAGAGAGGAGATTTTAAATATTCTCAACACAAAAAGATCAGCATGTGTTTACTAGCTTGATTTACTCCTTCCACAATTTATACAAAGCATCACATCATATTCCA